TATACAGCCTTTTGCAAAAATTATGAGAATTGTTGAAATATCTAAATATCATAATATCGAGTGCATGATGGGTAATCCCGCGCGATGCCCTTAGTTCCCTTAGTCCCTTGTCTTTGTAGTTTAGTGTTTTTTTTTGGCGACAGACTTATCCGTAGTTCTGAACATTTTCTCGATGTCAACAATGAATTATTCTAGCAAAGCTGCGTGTTCCGGACAATATATGGATATGGATATTATGATATTTAGATATTTAGACAATTCTCATAATTTTTGCAAAAGGCTGTATATGGTACAACAACAACTGTTTATACCTTGGAGCCTTCGTGTAGGGAAGATCCCTCGGCGTAAACCAGTGCAAGTACTATTAATACAAATCCCTTCGTTAGTATCATCTTTCTTTGCTTCTTGATAACACTTATGTAATTGATTCTCTACCTAAAAAAGACAGAAAATTGCATTGAAAAATATTCATAACACTTATGTAATTGATTCTCTACCTGAAAAAAGACCAAAAATTGCATTGAAAAATATTCATGACAAACAATGAAATATAGACTTTACAATAAAATGTAATTCATGTACTTATGACAATCTAATTGACGTAGGCTATTACGTTGTAGCACCCACAATATTCCTGTCTAAGTAAAGCACGGTCGAGGCAAAGCCGAGGGTGATATAMACGATATAGAAATGAAAGAAAGGGTGATATATATTGGCGYTAACAGGCGTGGCTGATCAGTCATTTAGAATACCACTGAAATGCCCCTCCAGTTCAAGAGCTATCATTTACGGTACAAATAAACTCATTATCAAGACGATTAAAGGCCTTATTGACCTTAGGCGGACAGGTCTACATTTAACCCCGACAATGATGCCAATCATGCTATCTACTACCTACCGTAAATGGAGATATCTGTGATATCACAGGTTATACGTTRACTAATTATACACTGGATTGTTAATTAAACACATGTATGCTCACACGGGAATAACTTTCCGTATTCTATGCATTGACGAGTGAATAACTTAGACCACACTGCACAAATAAGATTCTTAAGGATCGATCAACGATTTTCCTGCTATTTATTATAAACCTAGTGAKTTTATTACCTTGACTATTAGATCTGTAGATACGCAGTAAAACAGCTTTTAACTGCCACAGCGGGCGTGGTGGGATAGTAATGGATTTTAGATAACGAAAAAAGAAAACTGTCTACACTTAAACTCCACTATATTTGATTAAGCAAGAAAGACCCATATATCCTTCAATTGAGTAGCTGCTAATCTATCTAGTATATTTTGCTAGTTTGTTTCTGTCGAAATATAAAGAGGGTCGTATCTTTTCGCAATGTTCCATGTCATCTGTAGACTTGTTGAGCTCTGTTAAAAAAGGACTGAACAGAAACTGTCAACAGGCACGTTCCTTGTTGAACTTATTGAATTGCCGGCAGGTTTAAGCTACGCAGGTAAGTCGGGATCATGTGACGGAAGAAGTCATTGCAAAATCAGCAGACATTCCACGTGGAGTGACGTTAACAGTAAGAAAGGCTGATTCACAAATCGTTTCTTTTGCCACTGAAATAATCTTACTCTTCAATAACAGTTTACGATTTTGATAATATATGTAACCGTTTAGGACGCAGTTCTAGTGAGCTACTCCATAGAAAAGGCACATTTCAAAATCATTTGGGAATACACGTGAATTGACGAGAGAAAGCCTGACTCACGGAGCACATTTCAATTGGTCTTTCTCTTTGATAGTAATACATTAATCTCATAGCTATATGTTAAGATTCTCAAGACATCTATGATGGAAAAGCTCTGAACTTATAAATAGTGAAAATATTCACAATCATATGTTTACGACTCTAAAGATTTTAACTAGAAATAAGCGAAACTTCTCTGTAGAACGACTTCAGACGTCTAGCAACAGCGTAAATCGCTGCAGGATGCTGTATAGTCACATTTTGTTAAAAAAAGACCGCTTTGTTTAATACTGCCAACGTGTGACGGCCAGGATCGACGTTCCGCACACAACAAAACAACAAATACATATAATCTATGGCTTATCTTCATCATTATAACAATACTATTCTTACCTGACTTGAAAAACTCTTTAACACTGTAGAATTAGATAGCAAATGGACTGCTTGGCCGACACGAGCTATATTTATTACCCACTATGACGTCATCACGAAATACCTTCCGTGAATTCTTAGTACATGTGTTGCGCATGCGTCGCGTGCTTGGAAATTTTCCGGATGGCAGATCCCCATGTGGGAATGCTGTCATAATATTGTACTAACACCTAGTCCCACCAAGCTATGAAGGTAAAAATTTGATGTTTGTTTATATTAAAGATACGTTGGTATCTAAACGTCCAGTAAATTGCTAGATTGATTGGTATCCGTGATATAAATACGATTTCCGCTACTTTGTTTAAGTTTTCTATCGTCATATTGCCATTATTGGGTATAGCTGCTATCTGAAATATCTACTGAATGTATACTTGTTGATTACGTACACACAAGACGTTCGTAAACAGCTTGATTTACTCTCGATTTTTCGCTAGTTTTGTTAACGTCAACCAATAGATTGGATGTTTAGATCATTGGATGCTAAGAAGTAGTTATTGCAAGACGATTTTAGCTCTATGAAGGCAAACTATGCTACATCGTACTTGGGCATTGACAAATTAGCGTATGGATACCAAAAGATAACATTTTAACCTCAATGAGAAATGCCATATCTGTAGACCACCATGCCACCAAACAAAAACAAGCGAAACAAATTTGATTCTTAATCTCAAAAGAAAGCAATTCTTGCCAATCAAAAAATACAGCTTTTATATCTTACTGTAATTACAAGTTGCGAGAAACAAGGAAAGAAATATGAAAATTACCTTTTTTCCGTGTTCTCTATGGAAGTATCGTGCCGTGAACTATATATAGTGCTGATTAAACATTTGCGGTGGAAATACAGCCCGACTCCTCTAATTCCGATGTTAGCCTTAATTCCTGTTAGTATTCACTAAAATACAGAATAAACAATTGATCCTTGTATTCTATTTTTTAATCTTATTGCCAATAACGTGACAACAATGGTTTTGAAGATATTCCCTGCTGCTATCGTGTCTATAACTTAAAGTCGCGTTATTGTGTCTATGACTTTTTAAAGGACATTCTCAGACAAGTATGTTACAGTGCATCACGAAAGCAATTCTAGAGACCATAATAAGTACGTAGAGACCTTGCCAACTGGGCTTTGGATTAAACTTTGAAGATGTCGAGTCGATTTGATCAATATGTACACCAATTAAAAAGTATGAGACAAAATAAAAATCCGATGACTGCAATCTTAAAATTGAGAACTATGTATCTTTCCAGACTGATAGAACATCAGTGTATAATGTATTTTTCTAGGCGTGGTAGTGTTTATTGAAAGGGTGAACGATATTTCAATTGCCAGGTTAAATAAACTTCCTTAATGTCATGTTATCAAGATAGCATCATGGACATTTGATAAAAGTATAAGTTTGATAAGCTCTGTATGTCAGTCTTCTACACGTATTGCTGTCTCTCTTTATAGGTTGAAAGGTCGTTTAAATTATGTTAAAAATGATTGCTCAACGTCTAAAGTTAGTCGAGTAAGGGCAATTAACCCGTGAAGGAAATCGTTTAGTAAATCTATAGTAAGAGACCTACGCAGGGAGAATATTCGAGTCAAAAGGTCTTCATTATGCACAAATAATAACACAGGTTCCTAGCCCTTTTTGAAAAAAGTAATTTAGTCTATACGACAACAGTGACGAAAGGGATTTCCCATCCGGAAATCTCTCGGGATATCGAAATCTTTCCGATTGCATCCCGAATACGTAATCGTACACGACGATGATTCTAAAACAATTGTGTCATTAAAAATATCTACTTTCTGAAATTGTGCCCTTGACAGAGCTCGTCTAGCGTCCCTCGTAATCCTCTTAAAAACAAAAACAACAACACTAAGATTTTTAGGATTTTTAGGAGATCGATCAAACGTTCTAGAACTTCGCATCGCATGGTGTCTTTAAACAGCAGTTTGCTATTGTTCACTACGYACTAATGTTGAGTAAATCATTCTTGAGAGAGTGTTGTACAATTGGTATAATAAATATTAATCTTTAATCAACAAAACTGCTGCGTCATGATTTGTTACGTGAAAAACCGCAAAGTTGAAGTTTACTCGCAGCATTATGTCTTTAGTTACGGTCTATTTACGTGTGTTGTTGATCCAGTACCAAGGTCAAGGTGAAACGTTCCCGGTATTATTTTCATGAAATTGCTAATGAGGATTTTCGGAGATTTTGTGGTAAACGTTTAATGGTATAATTTACCGAGTCGATTTTCAGTAAGTCCATATGATTTCAGCCAGGCGTTGCTGGAAGCACTTGTTGGTTTCGGCGCCCGTCACGAAACGGAATACCGTATGATACTACAACACCCCTCCCTCCCCTCCCCCCTCGTTAAGACCAATTTAAAGAACCGTAGCTAGCCAAACTAATGTACTTGCTAAACATGATGTCTCTTCATAAACTAAACAATACCTGATATGGCTGCTAAGAAATTCAAGATATAAAAAATATAGAAAAATGAGTGCTAACAAGCATGGCCTTTGTTTTTTACTCATCTATTTTCATCCAGGAATATGAATGTAAATCTAGTCCACACGCTATTTGCAGGCTGTCGACTGCGAAACATATGTTACCATACTGGCCTGTAGTTGCATCAGGTTAAATGGTGGTTTGACATTTATAGCTGTTCCACGTAAAAATGA